ACATACACACATACATACACACATATATACACACAGACATACACGAACATACACACACGCGCACACCAGGGGTCGTCGCAATATGCGCTTTTGCTCGTCAACAAAAACGCATAATAAAAACTAAGAAAAACCACACACGCACGGTACAACAGATCAAAAAACTGACAGATTACACATTCTATATCAACTTTACACACCACTCCTAATTCGGCATTTTACCCTATCCAGCAGCTACCACTAGAATTATCTGTCAAATGTCAATGAAACGTCTAGTGCTAAAACCACTCCGTAATTGAACAGTACAAAAAATATGTCATGCAAAAAGCAAGTCACTTCTCCCCAAATGAAGATGATAAAAATTTACTTCTCCGATATTGGACCCAAGAGGTTTAATCCTGGAATAATCTCGGCTTCAGGGCTTGCCGTTTCCACTGTAGTTGAGACCATAGCGATATACCATCCTTTTGGGGCCACCATATTGACGTTAGAAACCAGCGAAATGTAAATATCTAAAAATACTTATAGACGGCAGCTAAGCAAGGGAATAACACATTTCATCCTCAAAGCATATACTCTGAAATTCAAAGTCTTTTCTAGCGAGTCAGTGCAAGATACAATACCTGAATGTCGTCCGACTTGTTTTTGTGGGATGATAATTTGACAGCTCTGCGCATCGTTTGTATTTGGTATTGTGTGATTCAGAAGGCAAATTGCACGAACTACTTGCCCAACTTTCCTCACTTTGTCGGGAACATACGAAGGGTCGCAATACACCTGTAATACCCATTTGCTTGCCTTGTCTGATAAGAAAACTGATTAACAGCAGTTTTTGTATGAGCAATCTTGTTGTCGGAATACGCAACTGCAATAAAGGAACACACGCTCAGAAACCATAACAACTGCAACAGCAGGCAGGAAAAAGTGACAGACCCAACAGACTTCGTATGTTACGATAGGTTTATACTCACTGATTATACTCAGTGATCAGTTAGCTACATAAGGTATCCTGTATTAACTGCTCTAACAGCTAATTATTTTGAGATTTGCCTGCTTGCACTTTGCAATATCGTTGCCGCTTTTTACGCCAACAACTCTGCCATTTTCATAAACGATAGAATCGACTGGTTTATCCAGCATGTACGTACCACCGTATATCGCACTCAGCCTGAAAGCAACGTACATACACACTAATTAAGTCAAAAAAAATCGGACATTTTTCAATATCTAGTGCGTGAGAAGCGGTGGACGCCTACAGCCATTTCCCACAGTTTTGCAATCTTTTAGCGAAGTACCATTGAAACTAAATCGCATGCAAACTCAGAATGAACTAAGAGAACATACCGAGCGAATCCTTGTGGCAGCTCACCCAAGCCATACAATGGATACAAATATGGTGATTTACCATATCGTGCAAGGGAATCGGAATATAAACGAATCCTTTCGGCGGTCGGCACAAACAATTCATTCTTGTAACTAAAACAATTAAGAAATAAACACCATTCTGCATTAACCTGGTCTCCAGCCCTTGAAATCGTAACCTTTTACGAGCTCTGTACTGGCAATAGGTTTAGGAACTTCCAATGATAAAAAAGAGCTGAAAAAACACGAGGGTTTACTGCAGAAAAACCAGTCAAAAAAAACTAGCTCACCGATAAGTTTTGGACTATCATTACGACGCAAAAAATTCTGAAAGGTACGAACAGATTCAGGTTTCGGCCCTAGCACGAACACTCTGCGCTGGACCGGAATGGAACGATGGAATTTGGAAAAACCGAACAAGAAAACTGGAGAACAGAGATAACGTAGCAAATCATTTTGTCACGGATTTCTTATACTTTAAATAATAAAATGCTGAAAAAATGTAAATACTAAAAAGTACTAAAAATACTAAAAAAAAAATACTAGAAATACTATACTAAAAAAATGAAGATAAAAATACGCAGACGAGTGAGTCAAGTAACTTCTTAAGTAACAAATGTGTCAGTTACTTGTCATCGCGATACAGCGCCAATGCATGGCCAGTAAAATCTGCCGTATTTTCATCCAAACCAAATTTCTCATACACCTGAAACAGTGCCGTTAAATAAATGTAAACATAAATCCACCATTTCAATGGTTTGCTCGGCAAAGCAATTCTGCGCAAGAACAAGGCAAACTCCTCCACATGCATACATCGTGGATTCAAAAAGAAAACAGAATACATCCCTCTCCCCCTTCGCCATCCCGAACACCACGTTTCTAAATAAGTCTTAATTTGCTGCTATTCCGACCCCACCTCAGATGCTATGCTGTCGACAATACCTCAAGGAAGACAATCAACAACAATCTGACCGTGCGCCGACTGCCGTTATGAAGGCGTAGTTTGGGCACCGTTCCCTGGCCCGTTTTTGTCGCTAGCAGCACTATTTTTTTTGGCAGATGCTTCTAGCTAAAAAAAATTGAAAACGGCCATCAGAATACCAGAAATTATTACACCAACTCCTAATAAACTCGGTCGTGGCCATGCCCCCCACCCCCCTAAAAAAAAAAATTAGCACTCTGGACGCTTCAGTTGCGGAGTTACAACAAATTTCACGAGTCTGTACATGGAAGAAACGTGAATGTTGTTTCCGTGTGCGCCTGCCCAAACAGGTCTTAGGCCACACTCAGAAAACTTTAGCACTCCAACTGTTTTGGTTGCGGAGTTACATCTTTACGGGTTCGTATGTAAGGGGAATGAGAAAGTTTTCCTTGTGTGCACCTGCCCAAAAATGTTCGGGAACCAAGCTCTGAATATTTTGGCAGTGTAGGTCTGAAAATTTCAGCAAAGTTGCTGAGGTTACACCAAATCCTACCGTTCGTAAGCTAAGGGAGACGTGAAAGCTTTTTTTTACGTGCGTTAAACACGGTCTTAAACCACGTTCAGGAAACCTGAGCACTCCGGCCGTCTTAGTTGCGGAGTTACGTCAAATTCCACGTGCCTTTGCTTGACACGTATTTGAGACATGAAAGGAACGTGAAAACTGTCTTCACGTCCACATGGCCAAACGCTCCACTGGTCATGCTCAGAAAGTTTTATCCCTCTAGCTGTTTCAGTTCCGAAGTTACAAACCTGCCTGCGCCACATTTCACGTAGCCGCCATATTTCAATTTATTTTCACGGACACACAAGTGAGCGGCAAGCAGTGCTGCAAAATCACAGCCCCCTACAACTTCTTGGTCAACTTAATTTTCGGGTTCGCACGACGCCAATTTAAACTTTGACGGACAAGCATATGAGATCTAGCAGTGCGTGGATCTGTATTTAAAATCCTTGATTTGGACATAGGCAAGGAACATCTTCATGAAGTTCCAGTCTTCCAAATTACATCGTCCCCGAAACCGCCTTCCCGCTAAAAAAATCTTTCACGTGCCCGTACGTGAGAACCACACGGAACGCGAGTACCCATTTTGAAGATGGGGGCTCGTATATGCGCTTAGATCAAATTGCCAAAATTTCTGCCTTGTAGCTTTTGTAGGTTCCAAAATGAGAACTCGGTAGAGATGCACACACAGACAACCCCTCAACAATATCCGTTTTTGCACTGCATAGGTGCAAAAAACGTGTAAAAACAGCTGCTTAAAATGCGACGGAATGAGTCTGTGAGAAGAACGGGCTCAAATTCGGTGACAAAGCAAAGCGAAATGATACAAGACAGCCAGATTCATACCTGCTGCATTGTGTGCACATCGGGATCGAGACCGTCGTAGGTTGCAGGGTTTTTGATATCAAAGTTCTGCACCCAAACAAGGAATTTCTTAAAGCGCCTTTTTTCGAACATTCCCATCAAATCTGAAGAAAAAGTAACGTTTACTTTGTTAAACGAAGAATAACTCTGAAAATTACGCAGGGGATAAAGCTAACTTTAACAAGCTCAAAAAGTGCTCTTCTCGTCGATAAGTTCATTAAAAAAAACATACTAGTAGCTAAAGCCTCCATTTCATCGGCTGGGACTTTAAACACCTTGCCACCCTTGTACACATACGAGCCTTCAATGGATTTGAATTCCAAGTAGCGAGTTACGCCGGTATGAATCAGAAGCTGCAACACAGAAACCATGCAACACAAAAGTTATTTTGTGAAATAGCATGGATCAATCTTCAAAAATCTGAAGAAAAAATACCTTAACAAGAGACCCATTCGCCATGAGAAATTTCGGAATCAAATCGACATTCCAGTCTCTTCCTCTTCCCATATCCGAAGAAGGTTTCGAATTCCGCCCTAAAAATTCACAAATAAAAAATCCATCAGAGTTCTTTAATAGCAATATCTAAAAAAAAATTTTTTACCAAGAAATTTCTCATACAACTGCTCCAACGGTGTTATTGAAGCTGATTCGCCTCCGTAATAATCGTTTCTGTCGATGTGAAGGATTTTCTTGCCTGATACTGACAGCATGCCAGAGAGTATGCATTCCTGGAAAAGGACTAGCGACAATGAACACGCCAGTGACATTTAATACCAGCTAAAAAATTCACAGTAGCTCAGACCTTGAGACCTGTCCCAAGGACGACTGCATCGTATTCCTCGTCCATTCTCGAAAGCCAATTTACCTTCAAACATACAAAATTATCACAACCAACGAATAAAACCCCTTCCCAAGTACGCTCATAACGAAAGCACGACTGAGGAAAACAGAGGTGCATCCACAAAGAGCAACATTTCCCAGGAAGTAGAATTAGCCTGTGCCGCTCGAATGCATGTATGCAAGCACTGCCGAACTACAGACTAGTTGAAAAAACAGTGACACAGCTGTCCGATATTCTCATCGGCAAACACATTCTCAGACACATACGTTAAAAAATTTTATTTTGCGATCAGACACCAGTGGCTGATTGCAAAAGCAGCCAGCAGCACTATACAGTATCATTCGCCCAGTACTTAGCACACTATGAATTCTCCGAACAGTTTTCACAGCAAATACAATCTGTTTTTCAGAACAACATATCCACTAGAGCACGAAATCATTTCAAATGAAACACAGCACATCGAAAGTCGCCTGGTTATATCCCGGCATGACAACAAGTATTTATTTCTACAAACTACGCAGTCCACCTCCTACAGACGATGACCACTGGGGAGGCGAATCAAGAGATCGAAAACGATTTAAAGGGATGTTGTTTCCGAAAGGACGAAGGGAAAAGAATGCCAAGACTTTCAACAGGTTGACAAACAAGCAACTGAAAATACAGAAGTGCAGCCATGCATCCTAGTTACTAGTGCTAACAAGCGCTGCGCTGAAACAGTAGCTGATTCAAATAAGCTCCCACGATGCAAATCAAAGGTGCTCCACCGTTCCAAAACCAAGCGACTTCGGACCGACGCTTAAGATGAGATTAGCAGTGTTTGCAACTGTGCAGCATAGTTGGCCAGAAGAAGTTCGAAAAACTGAAATTCCCAGCCTAGAACTGCAAACAAATTCATCATGGAAGATACCGCCCAAAACTCACTTCCAAAAAATGGATGGTTCGCATCGTGTGGGTAGCTTGCATCACGCGCCTTTTTATTGAGTTTTGTGCGATGCAACAGGTGCACAAAACGCACACTGTCATAGGCCATGTCATGTTTGTGTGTGTGTGTCCGAGTGCACTTTATCCGGCATGCTCAACTCAAGAACCAAGAAAGCTAGAAAGCTAAAATTTTGGAAGAATGTTCCTTCTCCACGTGCGACTCCGAAAATTTAATTTCAGCCACCACATGTGTCTGGGACCCACAGGCGGTCACCTACAAGTTTTGGCGTGAAAGCTACTAGCTCAAAAACCAGAGAACTAGGGAGATGAAACTTTGGAAGGATGCTGCCTGTCCAAGTGCGACTCAGAGTTTCAAAATTCAGCTTTCATATACAGTTATGCTCCACGTACAGGTATGTGAAATTTTTGGTAAGGAATTTCAGAGTCTAAGACAAACTCACCCTTTACCTCCAGGCCAAATAAATCACGACGAACAAGCCGTAATTGGGTAGTCTTTACGATAAGAAATCAATTTTTGCAAAGCGAAGAGCAAAAACGAAGAGACTAACTCATAATCGACTACAAAAACCAGAGCAACTCAGCGAACAAAAGGCATTTTGGAATGAAGCTGAAGCTTCCTGCAGAAATGCATTTTTGAACCAGAATGACTTTAAAACAAACAATTTGAACATCCAGGAAGAACGAGGATAAAGACACAGAGACAAGCAGAACCAGCACATTTAGTGTCTTTGACACATAAAAATAAATGATTATTCATATTCCTGACCAACAATTTCTTTCGCCTTCGAAACATTTTTCCAAAATGCATTTCACATAGCATGCCGTTAGCTAATCAGCTTTTGATTGCAACTAAAGCATAATTAACTGCTGTACTTTCAGTCCAAGACCAACGATTCATGAAAGGGTTATAAGCCATGCCGTGTATTAAACGAACGTTACATCCATTTTCTTCCAAAATCATTCGTAATAACGAAGGTTCAATGAACTTTGACCAGTCATGAATATCTGATGGAACAATTCGTAGTATCTTCTGAAATATTTCATATTTCACTTCATCAAATGTTTTACAGTTTAGTGGCTCCTAGAAACTACATTTGAACCTCGAAACGTAACAAAAAGAATTCGAGAAAAAATGAACCTCAGCTAACCAGATAGCCAATACCCGGCTTGCAACAGTTTTATTGATGGTCGTAAAGAATAGAACACCACCTCGGCGCGCCAGACGAGCACACGATTCGACAAAAAGCTCCGCATCGGCGGTGTGTTCTATTATCTCGGACGCGATAACTGCATCGAAAGCTGAAACAGCGAGCATTTCACTGACAAAACAAGCGTGTGCGTCAAAACCAAGCGGCATCCACTGAGACGCTGTTAGCACGACGCAAGTGGATGCCTTGTGCTGATATTCCTGGTTTTTCGCAGTTACGAATAATCCTGGGAACTTTACAGCTTCTTCGTGATTACTACCTCTCAATTACACTGATATTAGCAAGGCCAAAGGCGATGCAATGACTGCACGTACGATCTCCCAACATCACCCACATTTTAAGTTTCAGGAGCATAAATTCCTAAGAGAAGGCACATTCAAAGCACTAGATATATGCGTAAATGGAAATTCCAGTTCAGTGCCAAGCATAACTATGTTGAACCCTTCAGTTACAAGCCACATATTTTCAACTTTTACTCACTGCTTGCTCATATGTGCGCCTACTTTTTAAAGACAGCCCGGATGGCCTTATGCTTTCCCACGAGTAACACATAGTAGGACTCAAGATTTTCACAAGTTCTCAGCAAAACGAGCAACATGTCCAATCAGATCTGACTTGACTGTGTAGCCGCAACGAAACCTCGCACGCCGATATTTTGATGGAGAGCCTAATATGGCCACAAAGAAACACAAGCCCACTTCGCTCCGTTGCTCTCTTCACTGCTTCCATCAATCCAGCGACCACACTTCGTACTTGTGCAACAATGGCTTAAATACAGTGGTACTGAAGGAGTGGATATGGTCCCCTTCCAAGCAGATGCTATAACGACGACAACGATGCTGAGAAGTCTACGCTAAACGGCACTCATTCTATGTGTAATCGCCCTATTTCTTAGTTGTGATATATGTGATTTGCCAGGTCAAAACCGTCTGTCAACAGTATAAGCTCGAACATAAAAACAATATGCATCAACTTTTTTGACAATTTATAGGCCGATTTCTCCATCTTTTGTGTTAAGCTCTTGCAGCATCTCACCCATCTCACAAGCACTGCCCGCGATGATAAATATGTCTTCCACAAAAGCACCAATGGTTTAACTGATTACCAATGATAATACCTTACACCGCCCACTCCGACCAATATACGGATTAATGTGGAAAAAGGGTTGTGCCTACTAAACAGCCTAAATTTGCTTTCTAACAATTTCCACATGCATTCCATCAGTCATTCCATTTACAGCATCTTACAGCACAGTGCTTAGCTCGACGCTGGTACATATTTTTATGCGTTTTTTGCAGCTATGCAATGCGGAAAACGCATACTGACGAGAGGTTGTCTATGTGTATGTGTGTGTGTGTCTGTGTGTGCGGGCCTTTGTGCCGATTTTTCATCTCGAGACCTACAAAAGCTACAGGGCTGAAACTTTGGGAACTTAATCTACATGCATGTACGGGTCCCAACCCATAATAAATGGCAACGCGCACCAGGCTAGCCGGTGCGATCATGCGTTTTGTGCAATTCAGCCCAT